ATATACTGTGTTAACAATTAGAATATTGAAAATGGAGTATAAGATATGAAAACATCAGATATAAAGTGAAAAACCATTTAAATATTTTCCATGACAGGTCTGTTTTATTGATATATTAAATGACAATAATATTTTACTGATGTAAATCTGTGATAAGGAAAGGAGGGAGACTAAAAACTGAGGAGGTGCAACATGTCTGCAAATCCTACAGTGCCTCCATGTGGTGGACTTTAAAATACATTTTTCTTGATTCCTAAACTATCCATTTTGAATATTGTGTATTTGACCTCTTAACTGGATAAATCCTCAAAAAAAAAGCAGTAACAAGTCTGTAAATGTCTGAATGGGCGACCAGATACTCTGCCCTGGTGACACGGGTGACGGAGCAAGAAACAGAGGGACAGCTGAGGTGAGTCATGTCTATTTTTATTCAGCTGCATGTCTCCTTGTAAAAGAATCACAGCTAAACAGACACGTTATACTTTTCTTGTTCCACATCAGCAGATCAGAAATCAAATCTACTGTAAGAGACAGCTTCACTCTATTAAAATCTACAGAAAACAAAGCTCACACCGCTGCTCTCTGCAACTAGAAAAAAAATACACTCTGTTATCAAACACACATACTTAGAATATATATTACAGTGAGGGGATTACAGAAGTCATGTCAAATGTGTTAGTACAAATGTTTTCATATGATACTGTACTGCAGGATGTTTACAGATTAGTCATATCTGTACTTATCAGGTATTAATGTTTCTTTTATGTCACTTCATCAGTGCCTTTTCATTTTTTTCCCATCCTCGACTATACCTCTCTTCTATCAGTCTTGTCTCTTCACATCCGCGATTCTTCTTTTTTATGCTAAAACACAATTCTTTAATCATTCAATACAATATTTACAAAACTCTCTTGAGCATCTCTTCCTAGCTTTTCAATCTGTACTGATCTCCATTTTTCTTTTTTTTATCTTTCCCACATTTTCTTTTTCATAACACATTGTTCCCTTTATATTTAACCAAATGCATTGGATAAAGGAGCCAGATGAAATTTGTTAAAAGAGTAAATGTCAGTTACAATATGTGCTACAGGTGTGGCCAATCCAAACAGGTCTTGAGATAAAAGGTGATAAAATCAATGAATACAAATATGGCACTACTAAAAACACTTCTGGCTCCCTATAGAGCCCTGCAGGTTTCCTGTGTCCAGACCAAAATCAGGTCAGTGCATGGTGGATCCAGGGCGCCAGACGCTAGGCTGCAGGCCCAGGTTGGAAGTGCTGAACCTGGGCCTCGGTACCCTGGCAGGCAAAGCGCTGCTGAGGGCTGGCTGAGAGGCTTCAGTGGGACTCAGGGGACTAAGATCTGGGGCGCTCTTGAACTCCCTGCTGGCCTGTGCAGCGTTGGAGGGCTGGAGGTGGGAGAAAGTGCTGGACTGAACCGGGTTTGGAGCTGGAGAATAGGAGAAGGTGGGGAGATGAGGGAGCGGGGCGGTGGGGGCAGGAGGCGGCGGGGGAGACAGAGGGCCGGTGGCCCACTGATGTTGGTAAGGTTGGGGTGGAGGCTGATAGGGTTGGTAGGAGGTGGGACCAGCTGTGGGTGGATAAGTGACATCAGAGTGCCACAGCGGTTCTCCGAGTGTCGTAGCGGATCGAGGGACGATAACTTTGAGGGCAGGTCCTGTGGATGTCGGTGGGGGCGTGGAGAAGCGCTTCACCTCGTATATTCGTGCTGTTTTCTGAGGACCACCTGTCATTCCTCGCTGCTGCTGATAGGTTGATGTGTCCTGGGGAACCCCACTCCCATAGCTGAACAGGGAGGAGTTGAGCTGATAGGGCTGGTGGCTCATGATGTCCACAGGTTTGATGCCTGCTTTCTTCCCTTTCGACCCAGCTGGCCCACACTTTTTTACCTCTGGCTTCTTCTGGGCCTTCAGAGGGCATGAGGGTGAGAGGAGGGGGTTGTAGCTGATGGGAGGCGGAGCTCGGATGCTGGATGAGTACTTCCAGGTGGCAGGGAGAGAAGGCGTGGGTGAGGGCTCCCTTGTCTGGGCAGGAGAGTAAGGTGCTGCAGCAACAGAGGGAGATCGTTCCACAACATATCGATCCATCCTGCTTTGTCTGCGGGCAAACAGTTGCCCGCCCTTCCCTGCCAGCTGTGGCATCGGAGGAGCTTGCGGTTTTGGAGCCACAGGGGGTGGCCTGGGTCCTCGCTGAGCCTGCATGAAGTTGCAGGCCTCTGCCCCTAGTCTCAGCCAGTCCTCCTCAGGCCCTGACTCGTGCCCAGTCTCCCCACTGGGCGGAACAACAGATTCAGTACCTGGGGCTTTCCCGAAGTGGTCATCCATGTTCTGGACCATTGATAGCAAATCCGGGTTTGGATTAACATCTTTGTTCTGGACTGCGCAAAACATCGGCTTGTTGTTGCTACGACGACGGGCATCATGCAGGATGCCAGTGCGAGCAGCGGGGACAGAGATGCGTTGCTCCCGTGTTGCAAGTGAATCAGAGGCAGAAGCTTGTGGAGGTGAAGCCGTTGACATAGCAACATGGGGGTTGGGAGTCATTGCACCTGACGTGTTGAGGTAAGGGTCAACAGATGGAGATGGACTAGGCTGGATGGGAGCAGGATGATGGGTGTTCTGGGCATTGAAAGAGATTTGATTTGGGTCAGGGGCATATTGCGGGGAGACGGGAAAAGCAGGAAGACATGCAGAGGGAGGTGTGTAAGTCTGAGCAGGAGTAGAGGGATATGGAAGTGGAGCTGGAGGGGAGAAGGTTTGAGCAGGTGATGGAAAGACTGGGCTTCCTTTGGCTACAGGTGGAGACAGAGCGGTGGCGGGGGAAGCATGCACTGCCGGCTGAGGAGAAAATGTGTGTGCATTTGCTGGGGGCTGGGAGAAAGGTGCAGAAGACAGAGAGAAGGGAGGCGAGCAAGCTGAGGGATGGGAGTTAACAGAGGGGTGAGTGTTATTATTTCTTGGAGGGATGTACAGAGAGGTGCTAGACACTGCTCTTCTCGCATCTGGCCCTGATGTATGACGAGTAGGCGGTATAGTAACCATGGAGACTGCCGCCACAGGTTTGGTTTCCATGGTCATGTTTGTGGGTTTGGATTGGGGAGGGCGAAACATGACAGAGGTTACAGATGCACGAGAAGGGGTCGGGCCAGGGGTGAAAGGTCGTGCGGTGCGGTTCAAAACATTTGGATTAGAACCAAAGTTGTTCAGGTGATGGTCTGAGTCTGTGACAAGGCTCGGACTTAGGTTCGGGGTCGAACCGTGTTGACCATTTTGACTTGGAAGTGGAGTCTGAGAGGGTGCACTCAGAACAACGCTTGCCCGACTAACAGCTACTGACCCTCCATTGGTTTGAGCCACAGCTGGAGGAGACATGTGGGCTGGGTAGTTGCTAGTTGGCGGCTTTGTGATGCTGCTCTCCAGCCTTGAACCCTGACAGGGTGAGCTCTCTTGCACTGAGCCCTCCAACCCTGGGGTTTGACTGACAGGGGACACAAGGCCTGGAGTCTGATAGGCTGAGATTTCCAACCCTGGGCTGTGATTGGCTTTTGGTGTTGTTGGAGTAGTTGCTGTGGTTGACGGGCAGGCAGAACTTCTCCTGTCCAGCAGATCCAGATATCCAGAATCCCACGTGGGGTCAAATGATGCTGAAAATCCCTCTTCATCCACTTCCGAGCCACTTAGGATGGAACTTCCTCCTTCCTCCTCCGTCTCCCCTCCTGTATCCCCCTCGGTCTCCCCTCCTCTATCTCCCTCGGCTTTGCCAAAGCAGGTCAGTGTGTACTTCTTGGCCCTCTGCCGGCGCTTCTTGAACATAAGAACCCCTTTTGAGTTGGGGTTGGGAGCATCAGTCAGCAAAGAGGCAATAGAGCGGCATTTGGTACGAGCTTCTTTCACCTGCTTCTCCACCAAACTCTCCCCACGCTGCAGCTCTGCAAGACAGGAAGAGGAGAGACGGAGAAAGTGAATGTGCTGAAAGAAAGAACTGACAAAGGAGAGAAGCAGTAATGGGATTTTTTTGGATGAATGCATAACAAGGCACAGGCAAAAATTACTGGAAATGAAACAATGTGATAATCGTTGCTGACTTGTTTCATCCCAGTGAGGAGCTGCAATGAGGATTACCGCTGACAGACAGGAGTGTGTGTTGTGGATTTGGAACAAAGAATTCCTGCTGTCACCAGCACTGCCTGTCTGTGTGTTTGTGTGTCCGCTTAGTCCGAGGCTATTTGTGTCTTTTCGGTATTTTGGCTCACCTTGCATGAATATCATCACTAAATAACTGTAGTCTGATGCTGTCACGCCAACCAGGGCACAATAAACTACACCAGTACTCAGCAGAGTGCTAAGTCCCCATAAATATCAGTCCCCTGAATATTCCTCATTGATTTTTTTCTCAAAAAAATCCATGAAATATTCTCTGACAAATCAACGAAAATGTTGAAAAATGCTCACAACGTTAAATAAAGTGATAAAAATGTTCCTGGATCCTTAACCTGATTTAGAGCCGCACTCTTTTCTGACCTTTACTCTCCCAACAAGTTTTGTGGTAATCCGTTAAGTAGTTTTTGCCTAATCCTGGTAACAAACATACACACAAACAAAACCAAAAGGCAAAAACCAACCTTATTGACGAAAAGTAACAGTTTTATCATCCCAACGTCTAACTGCCTTCTTCTGTAGCAAAATTCTGCAATTTCTATTTTCATCAATTTATACCACAAGAGTCAATGTAAGACGGCTAAAAGGAGAAAAATGACCATGCTAATATTATTGGCGCCTAAATGCTTATACACCTATAGCACTGAACACAGCTGAGCCTTGTAAGAATGGCTCTAGTTTTGTTGGTTAGATTAAAGGGATCAACAAAGTTATTACAATTCATCCAGAGGGGGACAATGACGTCTGCACCAAATCTTTATGGGGTGATCCATCCAATAGCTGTCATGTCAACACAATGAAAAAGGTCAGCTTGCTGGTTGCAGTGTAGGAAAAATCAGGGGGATCACCAATGTCATTAGGATTCATCCTCTGGGGTGTACGAATGGCTGTACAAAATTTCACCCTGATCCATCCAATAGCTGTTGAGATATTTCAGTCTGAACCAAAGTGGCGACTAACATCACCACTGGAGCCATATAGTTAAAAATAACTCTAAATATTTTGTAACTTTTTTCATCATTTAGCATCATGTATCTGACCCAGAAACACAACAACGTAGACACACTGGCCCATGTGTGCAGTTTCTCTTCAAAGCACAAAAACACAAAACGAGATGCAGAATCACAGGTAGACTCCTCACGTCTAAATCATTCCAAGTGCAACAGTGACAAAAACCATTATTGCAAAGATACTGATTCCTCTAAATCTGAAGAAGATGCCATAACTTGTAAGCTGTGTGTAAATCTTACCTGTGTACACAGTGTGTGGGGCTGTGTGTCCACGAACGACTGAACCTGACAGAGATGTGAGGTCCCTCATCTCACAATAGTTTCTTCACACCCTCCCACACACACACACACACACACAAACACACACACACCCTCAGAAGCGTCCTCTTCTGATCTGAGCGCCGAAACTGTTCGCTCCTTGTCTCCCACCTCTTCTCTTGGAGCACAGCCCTTGTAAAGACCTTTGTCTCTGTCCAGCAACCCACACCAACACATGATGTCAACCCACTATTCCTGTCTGTCTGACAGGCATCAAACACCTGTCCAGTATCTGTCCCCTACACACACACACACACACACAAGGACAGGAAGACCCCCCTCACCAGCAGATATTTTCACAGCAGTGTCATTGAGTGTGCGCACATATGTTTGTTTGTATTTGTGTGTATGAGTTCATAAAGCCAATTATAGGCTATAAGGAAGTGTGGTCGTAACTCTTTGCCAATGTGCTGTTCCCTGCTGCTGACCCAACAACCACTGCACACAGACACACAACTCCACAGCAGCAGAGCCTACGATCTCAGATCCAAAGCCGAAGGCAATGTGTGTTTGTAATGTGAGAAAGGGCAGATCCCAGGACGCCTCAGTCATTCATCCTATAGTAAAACCCCCAACGCTAGTCGTTTAGGCCTTTGGCTTCCCAGAGGACAGATCCCTCATTCCAGCACCATCACTCATATGAAGTCACAACCCAGTCAGTGCATAGTTATTCACTTCCATCAGCTATGAACATTACCTTGTTGAGATGAATAAAACTGTGCATTTAAACTTTTTCTACATTTTTTTTGCAAAGTATTGCCCAGCACATAATCTGAACTAATTGATGTTTTTTACTCTTCATATGTTTACAGACTAAGTAAACAATTTATAATATGGTTATTATTGAGATTTAAAGGTGCCCGTACATTTCTGATATGTGACATTTAGGGCTGTTTACCCCATTTTCAATCTTTACGCTCATAACAATGAATCCTCCAGTGTGTGTTTTCATACTTGCATTACAATTACAATAATAGTATCTCAGGGGCATAAGGCATCAACGATTGTGTCGGTCCTCTCCCCATGTTAGACGCTTCTCTTTCAGTCCCGCCATCACAGTTCGTCGCCATCTTGTTTTGGGCTAACCTTGTTTGCAGTTCCCAGTTGTTGTCCATCCTAGGACTGTCTTTGGTAAGTGGTTCTGGTCCATTCTGAGGACATGCCCAAACTATTGTATCCTTATTTTTGGCTTGTGACCGTTGACACAAAGCAGCTTCTACTTGCAACCACGTGCTGGTATTTAATTCTATTTGACAATTTCATTTGAATACTTTTTAGGCCCGCAAAGAACTATGCAGTACTTCAAAAGAAATAAACAGCTAAAATTGTACTCAGTAGAGCGCATACCTCCACCAGGGCTCAACATTCTCCTCAAATTAAAACAAACCTTATAGCTCAGGCCCCGTCACACTTCTCAGCTACATGTTGGTGCTAGTAACCTATTACCCTAGGAAAGTAATTTAAATCCACTAGATCTAGATTTATATTTGGATCTGCACACACTCACTGATACCAGCCCCCTTGATAGGTTTCAATTTTTCATGAATATTCATATAATTCTCTTAAAAATATTGAAAAGCAATTTATCTCGCAATGTTAAGGAAAAATTCTTGACCCACAACAAAATGTAATGGGTTCCTTCCTGACTGAAACTGCCATTAATTTGATCCATCCTCTTGTTTTTGCGTAATCCTTTTAACTAACTCACAAACAAACAAACAAACAAACGCAGATGAAAACATGACCTTGGATGAACTTACTATTATGGAGCAATTGGTTTCAGTATTTTTATCCCAGTAATCCCTTCAGCCCCCCTAAACACATCTCACTACCCTTTGTTTTAGTTTTCAGCAGAAGTAATTCATTAATTTATTTAAATAATCAGAAAGGATTAAAATTGTGCAGGACAACTTCCTGAGTTCACAGGGGACGACTTCAAAATTACTGTTTTGTTTGCACGGAACCCAAAATTATTCACATCATATTGCGATAAGAGAGATAGGAGCATTTAATCTTTACATTAGAGAAGCTGAAATGCAGTAAGACGCTCATACATCACGTATTCAGCCATGTGGCCTGTTGGCAGAAGTCAGTGTGCATCCAGTCTGTCAATCAGAAGCTCCATGTCTATAAATACAGCCGCTGAGGCAAATACCCAGAATACTGACAGAGGAAATAGACTGCTGCTTCAAGGGACAGAGTGTGTGTGTAGGTCTCTGGTTTATCTCACCTATCACTACCAGCCTGTAAATGTAATGGGATGCTTCAGTTATAGAAAAGAGCCACTAGAGGGGGATCTAGCTAAAGACTTGAGCTGAACTCAGCAAGGACACTGGGGTAATCAATGGAATTTAAATTTAAAAGCAAAAACACAAAGGGGAAGAAGAAACAGTTGCATTGTCATGGGAAAGTACAGCATTTTCTGTGCAGCTGTTTTGCACATTGTCAAACCCATGAACAAAAATATGTCTAACTCTATTTAGAGAAGTGAATTTGAAGAGATGGGTGGGATTGACAAACACAACCATGACATGTTGTAATTGACTGTAATAATATTTATAACATCAATTATTCATAGTTTTTTATTGGTATAATTACCTCACACAATTAAGATCATGGTAGCTTGGTAGCTATGGAAACCCAGTCTTCAAGCAGGACTCAATTGTTTTCATCACTCTCTGCTGTTACGTGCTGTGTGTTTGTTTTTTCTTTGTTTCTTTTTACCTCTTACTTTAATTACATAGAAACATGTGTGCTTGTACGCATGAATTCAAGTCTGAATGGTTTATTGTCTCAAATTGTGCATGAACATGTGAATTCTTTCTTTTTTCCTTGTTGCCATTGAGACATACTCACTGGCTTGCCGTGCTTTGTCCATGTAGGTGGTGGAGAGCTCATCACTGACGGGGGTCTGCTGCAGCCCCACCATGGGCACCAGCTGTTTACTGGAGCCCAACATCAGAGCCTCTTTCGCCCTCTCAGGTGACACCAGGGGCACGCAGGTGAGCCCCATGCAGCCCCCTGCCTCCTGGAAGCCACTGTCACCCTCACCCTCCGCTTCCACCAGCCCCTGATCCGGGGTCGGGGTGAGTGTGTGAGGGGTCAGGGTGTGCGGGGTGTGTACCGGAGTGGTCCACTCTGTCTGGGGGGTCTGGTAGATCAGCTCTCTGCGAGGGACTCCAATCAAACACTGACTATCCCATTGCACCTGCAGGGAAACCCCCGCATCTGTGGCACTCTCATACCTTTGAATAATAAGAGAATCCAGCAAAGATGATTATTTTTAAGATTCAAGCTTGTCATGGTGGATTGTGGACCATATACAAGTTAAATGTGCATTACAAAAAGAACATTCCTTGGGGTTTTTTGGAAAAGGAGCAACAATTTATAAATAAATCCCCAAACTCTAGTGTATCAGTAGTAATGTTTCTAATTTGCTTGGTCCAAATAGAGGAGCAGTAGTCGTCAAGTTAGAAGTCATTTTGATAGGGCTTGTTGTTGAAATCAAACAAGTAAATTTAAATACTTTTTTTAAATAAGCTTTTAATCCTATGGATTTGTTTTATTTTTGTCTGTTCAATATGGACAAAAACTCCAGAATCTACAATTAATGTAGAAATAAAATGCAGTATGCATTGAACAAAAGTGGGCAAGGACTTCTTACCCGCTCATCTCTGAGGTCTCCTCCTCTTCCTGGTTGTCATAGCGCGCAGGTGAGCGTGCATGAGGAGGCGTGCGGCGTTGACGGCGGTAAGTGAGCGACTGCGTGTCTGCGTCACTGTCTGTTTCTCCGTAGTAGGCCTCGCTGTCTGGAGGGGAAGTTATGCCCTTGGGTATCCCGGTGGAGGAGAGGATGGAGGGATGGTGGGAGGACAAGGGGGCCACAGGAGGAGACAGGACCCTCATGGAGGTGCGGGGTGATGCAGAGTGACCAGAGTAAGATGAGGAGTGGAATCCAGAGTGGGCCCTGGAGACATACACATACACACACATGCATCAGTTTGTCTGATACGGCGTCATATAACATTGTGTGGGCTGTGTGAGTCTGTGCTCTGACCTTTTCACCCTCAGGCTGAGTGTTGCGCTCTGAGAATCTATGAGGCTCATGGCCTGAGCATGACTGAGCTCTGCACACACATGGTCGCCAATGGCAACCAGCTCATCATGCTCTTTCAGTCCAGCTCTGCAGGCTTTGCTGCGCCTGCGTACCTGCAGAGAGCAATAACACATGAAAATCTATTGTAGCAAATACATTTATAGAGAAAACATTATCCATTTCCAACATAATCTTCATCTTCTTTTCTCCAAATGTTATCCATCCAGGGAAAGAATGGACTGAAAGCAACAAAGTTATAATTATTATTTATAAATGGCCAATAAAGTTCTGCGACTTGTAGAACAGTGCTCGGGCATCTCTCCTCTACTGGCAACTGTTCCTGTATCAGAATAAGTCATGAAGTCATGCAGCTGTTGCTGGAGGTCGCTGAGAGATGATGTCATAGGATCCTTCAGGAAGTATGTCTGCGGGGGGTGGGTGATAGATTGGAAGTATTCTTATCCACCAAACTTCAGCTTCCTCTAAAGGAAGAAGATACGAACCTCCCCTCTGTCTCCGAACATATCCGAGCACCTTATCACCGCCGAAGGTAGAAATGTTGAGTGTGTCCCAGCACCTACTTGGACTCTAAAGAGGACGCTGAGTTTCCTTTTATCAGTGTCTCTTGACCCAATAATCCTGTTCCACCATCGCTCCAACACATGCAAGGACAAGCTTCTTTCCCACTCAGGCGAATGCACACATGCACATACACTCGTGGGGCACAAGTGAATATCATGAAAGAGGGGGTTTGAACAGCTGCATCTCCAGTCTGGTCCAAGGGGCATTAATGTCATTCGCCATATGTTCCCCACAAACCCAAAATAAAACCCTCGCAGGAAATATCAACCACATTCCTGGACGGATGAAGAAAGGCAGGAGCCGCTGGGATGTGAAACTGACAAAATATAAACAAAATTACATTTAAACACTTCAGGGGACAGGGAAATAAATGTGTGTGTTTGTGTGTGTGTGTGTGCGCGCGTGTGTGTGTGTATCATGAGGCCTTTTTCCATGCTTGGCCTCCAGCTCCTCTTAAATGAGCTATTCTGATCCTTCATTCCCAACCAGGCTTATCTGAGGTATGTCCAACCACACACACACACACACACACGCACGTACGCACACGCACACGCACACACACACACACACACACACACACACACACACACATTATACCTCTATTTTAGTGAGGGCACACATTGAATAATGCATTACCCTGGCCCTTGACCTAACCTTATCCATCACAACTAAATACCTAACTTACAACTAATTCTAACACTAACACAAAAATCTATGGTCTCAACCCTCGAACAGCCCATTGAAAGTAAGGACTGGTCAAAATGTCCTCACTCCATCAGGTCTATGCTCAAAATTGTCCTCACCATCAGATCAAATTCTCATCAACAATAACCTCTTCTGCTTGAAAATCATAAATAAATAAATATCTTTTAGTCTTTGCCGAAGCCCTCATGCCTCCATTATAAATCAGACGTTATGACAGCTTGTGAGTGACTGGCCAACTTTTAACGTCAGTGTGAGCGAGGTCACATTCTTCCTCTCCAGAATAGCTTTTCTTATTAGAGGCAACATTCTGATCTGTCAACAAATATAAACAGACACAAGAAAAGAATAATCCTGGTCTTAAAAGTGGCTTATTATGTCTAAAAAATATGTGATGATGACAAATCTCAAACAAGTCTGTTACCGGTTGTATGTGTTGACAGGTTGTATGTGTTGTAATTAAGAATGTAAAGGTGTGATCACACACGAATTGTGCTTTAACATACTTGAAGACGTCATATTGGCTACATATGATCTCTGTCAGGATGCAGTAATGAAACCTAAGACACAGCCCAAACATGTGTTCACACTGTTCTCTGACCCACAAACCACACTCAAACACAACAAGGAACAGTAAAATTGAATTGAGGATATGGACAGTTGGGTATAAAGAAACTAAACTCCTTGACGTATCTTACATGAAACTATAGAGAGATAGTCAAAGCTTCTCAAGCTGAAAAGTGACACTTAAATACAGACGTTTACTATAAAAAACACACCCAGATAAAAATCCTACAAACGACTTTGCCCATGTAACTAATCCCTCTCCAGTTTAGTGATGTTGTCCAAAGAAAGATCAGTCAGTTTTCTAAAACTAGTTGAGAACAATAAATTACTGAACAAAGGTACAAGTTTGCAAAAAAGTTTTTTACGCTCGTAAAAATGCCTCCTTTATTCCTTCTAAATAAATAAATGAAAATATTTCTAGCTCGGATTACAGACAGCAAACCACAAATCTGACCATCAAGGCCTCAATTAACAGCTGCAATCTCTGTTAAACCTACTCATGTTACCACCTTGGCAGTAAGTCCTCTCTGCAACATAGTGTATGCACGCACATATTCTCATGCACATGCACACACAGGCTTTACTATACCTTTGCCACCTGTAGAGGGTTTTCCTGCTCCGCTCCTCCCTGCAGTCTGAAGCCCCACGGAGCTCCTCCTGAGAGGGAGACCACAATCTCCTCCGCCACCATCCCAGCTCACAGCCCACTGTGTTTATGACGGTGTATGTGTCGCTCTACCCTTCTTCAGTTCCTCAAAGTCTGCGAGTATCAATGAGTGAGGCTTCTGTCTCTCTGTGACCGAGGAGAATCACTCCACCCATGAGCAGACGCAGGGGGGTGGCTGGCTTTCACCTGGAATGCAGTGTCGAGGGTGGGCACTCAGAAGGGCGAGAAGGGGCAAAAGTGTGTGTGTGTGTGTGTGTGTG